TAGTATCATACTGTATTTGGTATTTTGGGGTCAGTGTATTTACTTACTGCATTTCATTCCAAGAATATTAAATGTGGTTTAATAATGCATATTTATAAATACATGTATGAATTAAAAAGTACATCAATTTAAGTTATTTTATCACACGTAGAAAATACTTCATTACAGTATCTGGTCCAATGTTTTCACGTTTATTGCCACAAAAGCGATTTTCCAATTTTTTCTATCCACTTCCACAAAAATCTATGACACAAAAAAATGTCCATGCTATGGGAGATTCTCTAAAGCAGTCCATATATTTAGAAGGTCGTGAATAAAATCAGATATCCTAAAAAAGCTGGAACAAAAGCCTACAGGCAAAAATTTGTCAGCAGTGGATTTTGCAGCAAATCACAACCACAACTACTTGTCTCTAGTATTGTATTGTCACAGAACAACATCTGGCTCATAACTAAACATCTGATATCTGGTGGTGGTTACTCATTTGAGTGGTCTTATCCTAAACTACAAATCATATCACATATGAGTAGATTTAAAGCAAAACAGATCATTTAGTACGTCACCCTAACATAACTTTAGGGCCAAATCCCCCATTTACATACATCTGCAAAGCCCTTATCCTCAGTATTTATCCTGCTTCTCTGCCTCACTGAGTCGACATCATCAGGCCCTTTCTGTGAGCGCAGGCGAGAGCAGAGGGCACTCGAGCCTTGCAACTTTGATGAGGTAATTAGACACCTGCGTCGCTTCTATTTATGATGCGACAATCACAACTACAATTTAGAAAAGTTCACAGAAAGATCTAAAATAACTTCCCTTTACATGGCTAATCAGAAAAAGTGAAGGTTGATTTGTTTTCAAAGGGTCAATGAGTTGAATCAGATCCAAGCTCCCTCTTTATCATTACACCCCATTTAATATTCATGGGATGAAATGTAATAAGTAAGAAAACTCACATTATTATATACTAACTAAATACTTTTCTTAAAGGAGACATATGCTTTTTTAGATTTTCCCTTTCCTCTAATGTGTTATATACACTCCCTAACAAAGCCAGGTAAAGAAAGAGTGGAGAACGACTTTTCCTTCATGTGCTTGAAGCGTTTGACCAAACCCAACATATTGGTCCAGTTAGCCAATCAGAGCAGACTGGGCTTTACAGGGAGGGGGGGCCTCAAAGAGACAGTGGCTAAAACCAAGCCTTCAGATGTGTTTTTGTGAACATAAGAGCTTGTAAACCTATTTAAGTAATAACCCAAATTATCAATTTTATTAATCTTAACCTAAATAATAGCATAATTGAAGTACATTTACACAACAATGTACAAAAGTCATCACTAATGTTTTAAGTGCACGTCATATGCACAAATATCCCAAACCCAATTATGTTCTCAAAGCTGTGGGATCCAATTCATAAACCTTTCAGCAAACTCAACAATGAAGCTTACAACATTTATGAGCAGGGCATAAAAATATGGGAGGAGGGTGCCCAAGTTGAATCCCATCTCTTTTACTTTTCTATCTATTGACTGTTGTAAACTTATGGACTATCTTCAATATAAATGCGTAGTGTTTTCATTTTCTTACTTGGAGAAACTGTAACTCTGTTACATGTGTTATTCAGCACCAGAGCAGCAGCAGCAGCAACATCTATTGCTCAAAAATAATAAAATAAAGTGAAGGACCCTGCAGGCAAACGCTGAAACTTTGGAATAAAAAAATCATTATGGAGGAACACATCAAACAGTGTAGAGGAGTGGAGAAGCTGAAGAATGTATCTTTGCTGTGGGACTTAAGATCTAACTGCGGAGAGATAAATAAATAATAAAGATATAGAAAGAAAAGATATAGAATTTTTTTCAAAAAAACTCCACTTAAAAATTCAAGATTCAACATCTTGCCACATTTCTGAACACACACACTTTAAAGCATTATTACTGTATGAGTTTATAGTTGACATACTCTAGCTACAGTATGTTTTCACATTGGAAAAATAAATGATTACAACAATTTCAGTAACGATAAAATTACTGACTTATGTAGTTTTAAATGTGGCTTGATTCAATCATAGCTACTCATTAATGTTGGTATCGTACCTTGAAGAAGGACATGGTTGCACCATCTTTGACGACTCCATACTCAATCTTTGTCTGCTTGGCGATGTCGTCAGCTGAGTCCACAGCCGAGTCCATTCTCTCCACAGTGAGAAAAGCTGTTAAATTAGCTGTGTAAGATGATATGATGATCAATGTGAAGAACCACCATATCCCGCCAATGATCCTGGTTGACAGGGCTTTGGGCATCAGTTCTGAGCCTGTAAGCAACACAAAGAAGAGAAAGATGATATTGTAGCTGCCAACTCTGTAACAAAATTTAACAAATGCAGAAACATGATCACTGACATCGCTGTTAATAAGCCTGCAAACATTTCTGGCAGTGCAACTGGTGTTGATCAAGGTACTGTCAGTGTTGTGGCAGGTTAGCCAAAACTCCAAGCTACGAATATCAAATAGGAAGATCAGACCTCTAACTGTAAATTTCCCAGGATTCTACACTGGTTGTAAAAAAAAAAAAAACTCTCAGTTCAGGCTTTTGTTGCAGATGGCCTTTCAACATGACCCATAGTTTGTGTGTCACTACCATAGACTGTATATAGAGATGGATGACACATTTCTTCTTCCTCCCACTATCAAGAAATGTAGCCAAAATATGCTGGATATGAACACTTGCACATTTGGAGCCAGAGTCTGCGTGGTAGACGTGGTAGACGTGGTAGACGTGGTAGACGTGGTGGATGTGGTGGATGTGGTGCATGTGGTGGATGTGGTAGACGCGAGGTCTGATTGTGAGCCATCTCAGGTGTCCATCATGAGGTTTCATTCAGTTTTTATGGCATCAGATAACTAAATAAAACGAAATGAACACTTGAACATACATCAGTGTAATAACAAAGAGGATGAAACCACCTTTGAGTAAAATTGAGTTTGACATGCACTTTGACTCTGCAGTTCGGTCCATGTCCCATCCACTAACATGGAGGAGGGTTAATGACCTATACTGCAGCTAGCCATCAGGGGGCTATCAAGTCCCGTCTGCTTCACTTTCGGGGAGCAGTCTGCTGTTATGACCCATGAGAGTATGTCCTGTAATGTAATGGTGCCCCTACATGGCTACAATATAAACCAAACTGTGGTAGTTTGATTTGGTTCTCCCACAAAAAAAACACATTTGTTTGACAAAAGAAATCATTGTTGTTTGGGTTTTTATTTTGCCTTTAGATCTAACTTTAATAACAAAATGTCTTAATTGAAAATAAAATATGCATCAACAACCTTTAATGAGCCAATATAGAAAAGTATTGTAAGTTATAAGTCCCTGTAAAATTCTAACATTCCTGAGTCATACTGTCTGGACAGCACTCCTACAGATTTGCAAAAGGACTTTTGGCATTAATTTCCCAACTTAGATTTATCTTTTGAGGATTAATAGCAGTCGACCCTCCTCCCATTCTTAATTAATCTTTTGAATATTTTGACTGAAATGAGTTTTGGTGAACATACGAGTTGATGTATTGCTGTGAAAACAGCATTGCTGTAGGATGTCAGATCAAAGATAAATGAGACACATCACACTGCAGTGGCTCTGTTAATGAATTCTAAATCACCAGAGGTCTTGTTTAACATGTCACATGTAACAGACACAATTATCATTCACTCGATTTTCCTTTTCTTTTTTTATCGTCGTCAGGTTTAAGAGACGTACACACGGGTCTATTTTGCAAACACATCATCACAGTCTGTATAAATAAATGCAAAAAGAATAAAGATATACAATTGTGCTGAGCCCGAGTGACAATACAGCTCTGAATCAGCCTTGACTTTGAGTGGTCCTCTGCTGAGTAATACTATGTTTACAATGGTACACTGACTGGTACTAAAGTTACTTTATATCTCATCTCTGACAACCTTTAAAATACCCTTGTGCTTTGTGCACTCTGTTACTTTACTGAGAAGATTTATGAGGGCAATTCTGAAGAGTAACAAGCCCACAGAAGGGGGGCAGAGTGGTCAGCTCTTTAACCTCTCCCACCAAATTTGATTGGATTTGTCCTTTGAGGTTTGACAAAGACTACATGGTTGCAAACAAGGGAAGACAGGAGCGTCCCTTAATTCACTCTGACTTCAGAGGGGGAAGATCCAGATGCATTCCCTGGTCGCACTAAAAATGAAGTGAAGCAACGGGTAACTCAATTGAATTCCACACTATAAAGTCCTGTTGTCAGCAGGGAACGGTGTGTTGCTGCATCAGAAGACTAATAAATTCAAAAAACAGATCAGTCGTATTGTGCCAGGGAAACAAAACGATGTCAAAATGGTATATGTTTACTTGAAGAAGGACTTCCAAGAAAACCAAGAAAAATGTAACGTTCTTTCGGGGAAGACAACACTGACTCTGTTACAGTAAATATCACATATCTCACTGACGGCTGTGCTGCTCATTCACATGAATGTCATAAATGGTTGTGTACAATTATACATACTATTGTTAAACAAGAGTGTGACCAAGTTCAGGATTTTATACAATATGAATTAAATTAGCATCGCCTAAGAAGAAACAAAAATGAAAACATAAGGAGCTTTGAGTTATAAACTATATCACATTATTTTATTGTAAACAGCAATAGTCTGGTTCAGAGAGACTCAGGTTAACTGTATTACCCTGTTTTTAGTTTTTATGCTGGCTTCATACTTAGACAATTTTAAGTTTATTTTAGTTCAGGTCTAAGAGAAAATTCACTGCATTATGAACTCCTGTTAAATTAATCTTTTTATGCAGTCTCATGATTAATGTATCAGGCTAAATATGTAATTTAGAGTCTTTACATTTCCATTCTTGATGATTCAGTTATTCTGTAATATTAATATTATTGAGTTTGAATATCCGTGGTTAACCAGCACTTGAGGAAACTGTTGTATAAGTAATTTTTTGTGAGAGTTAAATAATTCCAGTTGTCTATTTCTTCTGTATGTCGTACGACCATAGTGAATACATGTGTAGTTACTATATGGATATTTCTGTAGCTTCTACTAACATGACAAAGCCCCCCATTTCTGAAGAGGAGATCACAAAGAAGTCACTCTGCAATTCTCCTTTGCGTAAATGAACAGTCTGTTTTGCATCTAATGATGCTTTTTGAGTGCCAGTCTTTTGGGACACAAAAAGCTGTTCTCTGTCAATTTACGAGTGTCTTGTGCTTAACATGATGCCCCCAATGTCTGAAGTGTTTCTCCCCACTAGCAATGCCTCACATTAACATGAGAGAATATGAGAGAACTGGGCTTTCCCATGAGAACATTACCTGCACTCAGCTTTTTCTCTATAGAATCATCACACAAAAGCTGCCTTTTAGTGCTGAGGGCTTTTACTCATTGTTAATTGCTTTGAAATAATGACAATTGTGAATAGAAATATTATTGCATCGCAAGTGAATCTTGATCTGAATCTCGAGAAGGGTAAAAGTTGCAGCTCCAGTTTCTTAACCACAGACAAAATGCCACTGCAAATTAGATCTTGCATGAAGAACCAAATAAAGAATATAATATTCCAGGCTTAAAAACTACGGGTATAATATGAAAGCAATAATGTCACGGAGGTTGAGAGAATAGGGAATAAATCAAATATGCTTTCAAAAATTATTTTATATGGGGAAACCAATTTGCGGAAAATGATCAGACATATGTTTGTTGTGAGCAAAACCCTACTGAGACCCCCAGGAATGCATTTGAAGCGCACAAAGTGTTTGCTTTTGCACCTCCTCGTATTTTGTGTTCTTTGTGTTATCTGTGACACCTCCCTCCCACAGACAAGCTGGTAGATTTTTTTTTTTTTTTGGATCCCCTCAAACACGCCATTTGCATTTTAAACATGTCATGGAAATGGCTCCCGTCTCGGTTGCTGTCACTATTTGGCAGACGAGCAAGAGTAGCCCGTTTATGTGACACTAACAAAATATACATCGCTGCAGATACCAGCGTGCAGCATGTGCTACAAGGCGCTGTAGGACGACTGGGCGTCGCAGGATCCCACAATCAGTTGTGTCAAATCAAAACACAGATGACTCACATGTTCAATTTCACTGTCAAGATATTTTGACAGTGTTTCATTTAAAGATCATGTCAAAATTTTAATGTAACATGACGGAAAATATGCACCATATGTTCAGACATGAACTTCATGTTAACTCTGATTTCCCAGTGAGATTTTTTTTTCCCCCATATATTTTCAGGGAGCTATGAATAGGAGCTGATTAGCAGCTGCTTTAGTCAGCCACAGTAAATATGAGAAACACAGAAGCTCAGGCATTGACAGACAACACTGTGGGCCACTGTATAAATTATAATAGCAAATTCTCCACTGTTTAGTTTAATAATATGGGCTACTAACTAGCTCATTTTGTTTTGATTCCCTCTCCTCTCCCTCCTCTGCAAGCTGCAGCTACATCCGTAGCCCTCTGTCTGCACCAGCAAATTGGCAGAGCTGCTATGCAGTTTCACAAGAGTGCTGCCGAGCTTCTGTGCTTAATGAATTGCTGAATGTGTTTGCTATCCTTACGGGCACAGATCCACTCCCGGGTCTCTCCGAGCCTCCTTGATTTGTCTTGTTACATTGAGGTTAAACATTTTATTACTTGGGTCTTTTTCCCTCCACAGTTGACTTCATTAAGTTATTTCTGGGGCCTTCATTTGATTATCTATCCCTTTAAGCGACACCTACTGAGTGAAAACCTATTTGTAATCATTTGGTTTTTACCGTCTAAAGGTAGAATTAAATCTTCAGCTGAAATTTTTGTATGTTGGGATTTTCCTGTTGTAAGATGAAAGTGCTGCTGTTGTTTTTATGCTATAAATGTGTTCAGTACATTATACTGGTGCAGTGCCCATTCTAAACCAGCCTGTTTGGGGTGGGCTTGACTTGTAATAATGCTGGGTGCAGCTCTCCTTCTTAAACTGTAAAAGTAACAACAGCAGCAATAGAGCTGCAGCTAGTAAAGACCTGCTGTTGGACTCACTCCACAGAACACTGAGCCTGCACCACCACTGCTGCACAAAGAGCTTTCCACCTGTTTATTTAAAGCTTGATAAAGCTCGACTCAGTATGCAGAACCCCCCAACTGGAGAATCAATGGTTGCTGTTGTTGTGATCGACAACATCACTTGCATTGAAGAGTCCCAGCCTCCACTGTCCCAGAGTGTCAGTTTATTCAAATATTGTTAATATTGAACGTTTCACATGTCCAAATCGCACCAAATTCAATTTTGCATTTTGCCACTTCCTTAACAATACACTTGCTAAGTGCTCCCCTACAAAGATGAACGGTTTCTGAAATATGCGAGCTACATACAGACAGACGGAGATTTCTGAAATTATTAGATAGATATACTGCCCACTTGCCCAAGTCAATGGGAGCTGTCACATTGTCCATATTTGTGTGTATACACATATATATATATGTAATTAATAGGCTCGGTGTTTGGCTATTTTTACTGAGATATATGGATTCTCTACAGCAGGTCACCAAAAGTCCATTTCATACAGCACTGAAAACATCACACCAGTCAGTTGGAGCATGGCTGACAGCTGGCATTTGTCAGACATGTACTCCGAGTTACCCTTTTCTGTCCCGACACTCAGAAAGCTCTTGTGCAGGGCCAGCGACTGTGTTATGGAAAAATAAATGCGGCAATGTTTTCTATCCTTACCTGCCAATCTCTGACAAGTGGCTGGCACCTACTCTTCTTTTTTTAAACAGCAGGTAGCTGACAACAGCCTTCCTTTGTCATGAGCTCTGCAGTTGTTCTTGACAGGTAAATGTCTTATGAAACAGTCACAGAATGGAAATCATGGAGCTTAAAGAGGCAGAAAGTAGGAGCTAGCCATGCACAGGAGAAGAGGGGCGGTGTGACAGTATTGTTTTTGACAGGGAAGGGAATGTGTGTGTCGCTGTACCTTGTTGCATTAAGGAGCCGACACCAAACCAGAAGCTGTTGAAGAGGGTGAAGTTGTTTTCCACCACATCTGATCCGGGGTTACACGGATGTGCATCGTACCATTCATATGGACTGAACCTTGGGACGAAACAAGAATTTAGAAAGCTGTTTTTAAAGCTTTACCGATCTGAGAAAATGCTAAACTTCCTCTAGTATTTATCCTTTCTGAACACTGTGAATTGGAAAAACTGAATCAGATTAGCATGAGAGCTATTCTGAGATTTGCTGCTATTTTCGAGTTTCACCTTTTGTGTCGAGTAAAAAGAGAATGAATTATTAGGAAGGCAGCTCAACAAAGTAGTTCTTAAAACAATCTGAATTAATTGTTCCACTTGTGGCAGTGGAAAATACAGCAGACAATGATCCACCTTTGCAATACTGTCGTTTGTTGTTTGTCTGCCATTTGGAGGTTGGCACTCAATGTACATTTGGTTTATCTAAACATTTTAGCTGAAAATTGCTGCTTGCTGCTTCTAGAAACGAGTTTGACATTAAAACAGCGTGGCTATCGACTCTAAAACAAACAATGAGCTGAAAACACACACATAATAAGACTTGGTATGGCTGATGGTCACAAAAGAGTTGGTTTAAACTTGTTTAATCATCACTGACAATGACACACAGATGTTTGAAGCGTTCTTCACACATAAACAGTGACTCATGCAGCTTTGTGTTTGACCATGATATGTATGTGTAGGGAACAATCTACAGTTTTGTAAATGTAAAAACATTTCATGAAATGTCAAGTCAAATACATTTTAGATCAAAACGATGTTGGTTTTTAAGTCTTACCTTTAGAAACCCCCTGAACTGTTTCTAATGTGCTTTGTAGGTAAATGTGACCAACGAGGCACTGAGTATTTTTCAGATGGTTTAAAATGGCACGTTTGAGAATGTGAGGACTTCTCTTAAAGTAGCATGAAACCAAATATTTCCATATCTCTGCCATTTAATGTGACACTTGCCTGATAATGCTTCACACCTTTATTGCTCAAGTCATTTTAAAAGGCAGAAGTTGAGATAAAACATACTTGATGTCACAGCCTTCCCCC